GGAGCGTGCGTGGAATAGGGTGGCTGACAGCGGATACGTGTGCAATTGGGATGAATTTATTAGAATTAATGATATATTCGCCAAAAGATTGAGAAAGTACAATGCGTCTGTAGAACGCAAGATCATTGACTCGGGAAAGAAGGGTTCGTTTTTCAGGCTTATTAGTTCTAGACTCAAGGAAAAGAGCAGGATAGGGGTATTGTTGTCTGATAATGGGACTGTAGTAACAAATGATTTCGATAAAGCCGAATATTTTGCAGATGTTTTTGAAAATGGCTTTCAAAGGGATTGTTCCATTGATCATGGAGGTCACAGTACTCCTTGTTGTGCTGTGATGGATGATGGACCGTGGTTTTATGGTGAGGAAATCTACAAGTTGCTGATCGCTTGGCCCAAGTCAACTTCCGTGACACCTGATATGGTTCCACTAGAGTTCATAAAGTTGATTGCGCACGTGATAGCCGGGCCCCTCCAGTTCCTGTTCAATTTGAGTATGATGAAGGCCGAGGTACCGGATAGGTGGCGGGCTTCATATGTGACTCCGATTCCGAAAAAGAAACCGTTTACCTCCCCTTATAACTTTCGCCCCGTTAGCATTACCTCAATTTTTGCTAGGCTCTTTGAAAAGATACTGAAAAGGCGTATTATCAAGCATCTAGAGAGCAATAGAATTATTTCTCCTGTCCAACATGGTTTTCAGAGTGGTAAGTCCACGACGACAGCCATGTTGCAGTGCCTCAATGATTGGACACAAAACTTTGAGAATAGGCTGAATACCGATGTTATTTATTTGGATTTCACCAAAGCTTTTGATAAAGTACCACACCCTAAGCTGTTGCAGAAATTGGTTATGGTAGGAATACACCCACGTGTTGTGGCGTGGATAAAAGCCTTTCTGGAGGACAGATCTTTCACGGTGCGTGTTAATGGCTCTTTCTCCAGTCTGAGGAAGATGCATAGCGGTGTGCCACAAGGTGGTGTGCTTTCACCTCTGCTATTTAATATCTATACTCACGAGCTTCCTTCTATTCCTTTAAGCCAGGGGATTTCCTGCAGCGCTTTCGCTGACGATTTCAAACTGTATGCAGTTGTCAAGGATGTGACAGACTATGAACGGTTGCAAAGAGCACTCAATGAGGTTTATGATTGGTCGCAGGAGTGGTCTCTTCCTATTTCTACAGAGAAAACTAAAGTGATCCATATCGGTCCAAAGACATCTAATCCAAACTTTAAGTATGTCCTTGGGGAAACTTATCTTCAAGAAGTTGATTCTATAAGAGATCTGGGCTTCATGGTCAAAAGCGACCTCACCTTCGATGATCACTGCAAGTTGATAGCAGATAAAGCCACTAGATCGGTATATAACTTGTTCAGGGCTTTCGCAATTAATGACACGGCTTCTCTATTGAAAGCTTACAAATCGTTCATCAGACCTATGGTTGAATATGGAACTGTTATTTTTTGTCCTCATTTGCATAAAACGATTGACTATATGGAAAGAGTTCAGAATAGTTTTACACGCAAACTTTTCATCCGAAGAATTGGTTTTAGATATGATCTCATACCGAATGGTATGACTAGGAACACTGAATTAGGGCTTTCTTCCCTTGCCTATAGAAGGCGTAAGTTTGACCTTCTCATGGCACATAAGATTGCGTATGGTCATTGTGGCTTGGATTTCGGGGTATTTTTTCCTACCAGGATTTCTAATACAAGGGGAGGGAGTAGAAAATTGATTATCTCCAGATCAAAACACAAAGTTCGCCGACACTTTTTTACATGTCGTGTAATCAATGACATGGACAAGCTTATTAGAAAACGCCTGTTTCCTGCAAAGTTGTCTACGTTTAAGTCTGTTTTAAGGAACTATCTACAGTCTCGGTAATTTGTTGTTACTAACACGGGTTGGTCACGAGCTATCACTCATGATTCCATTTTTGTTGTGTTCTGGTTTCGTATGTTCTTTTTTTTGGTATTGTTGCAGTTATCATAGGGTTACCCTATGCAATAAATGAAATGAAATGAAAATGAAATTATGTGTCCGCCATGAGAAAATCTTCTCTTTGCATTAATACGTTCAAACTTCAAACAGAAATGCGCATTATAGTCGCTAGTATATCTACAGTTGATTCATCACATGATCATGTGTGTATTACACACAACAGCCACCTTTGGCGGAATCTTTACAATCCCAAAAGCGCAAGAGTGTTGTTACCAATTGTTATCGCTAACAACACTTTGAGGAATCTTGGACCTAGAAAGGAAAAGAAACCATACGGTATAAAAGACTCACCTGAAGGAGTGTCTGCTCCTAGAATCCAAGATATGGGCGCCAAAAATGGACAATGTGTGCAATGGCACACATGATCATAGGAATGATTCAACTGCACTTGCGGTGCCGACGACGCTTGGGACAAATGGTAATGCCATTTTGAATCGAAAATATGATGTTTTTGGCTTCAAGTATTGTCCGTAACGCATAATATGTACTGGCACTCAGCATCAGTTTACTGAACTTTAGTCAAACAGCACTGGTACGGATTTGCTACCTTTATCAAGGAGTTTTACACTCACTCCAAATTATTTTCGACTTGATTCTCACATTGACTGGTTTTCCACTTTGTCCGTGCGTCAATGTTTCGCATTTACATCCACGACAAGTGCTCTTATCACCAAATCTTTTTTCAAATCAATTTTTTGCTTGCCCTTCGCCTAAGTTCCTCTTCCCTCATCCACATGCTGTGATGACGACGTGTTTATTGATCTACGCCATTCCCGAATCCGCCCGCACTTGCAGGCCCTCCGTTCTTTATTTTTCTCGTTGTTCGAGGTTGTAGCGCTAGACTTATCGCAATTTTAAACTTTAATCTCAAGAGCAACAACTTCTTTTGCTAAATTAATAACCAACTAATTGTTTCGTTCTGGGGATTTGCAGAAAAACTAGTAGTTTTCTGGTTTTATTTGACTCAGGGACCAGTTCTTTCCCCGGCCAAGAAAAATAGTATCCACATTTCTTCAGGTTTCTTTTGCTTGATACGATCTTCCAGATATTTTAGCCATTTTTTGAGCCGTACAACGATCTATACATATCTTAGTGTTAGATCTTCGTTTCGTTTCTGTTTTTTTTTCGTTTCAATTTATCAACTTCATTTTTTACTGCTTGGCGTGGTCATTTTTCACGCGCAAGTGTTGTCGGCATTACAAGCACTCCTCCAACTTCCGAGCGACTATTGTAGGCACCGCAGGCGTACTACGTGTTCTCAAATTCGATAGATTGCACACGGTCAATTTTCCATATATCCAGGTTTTCCTTTTCGCATCGAGAGTCGTTGGAGTTATTTTAATTCCCAGAATAATGTTTTGAACTACAACATTTCCTCCTTTAGTTAGACTGATATATATGAAAAAGAGGTCCCCTTCTTGCCACAGCCATCTGGCTCCTTAGGGTTTGGCCATACTTCGCCCGTGTTGCCGATGTTTCCAGTGTTTCCAGTGTTGAAAGTGTTGCCGGTGTTGAAAGTGTTGAAAGTGTTGAATGGAGATCATCAGTCTAGCAGTTTCATTCTTTCTCGAACGATCTCACCGGCTGGTGAATACGTTGGAAGTGGAACTGGGGAATGAGAAATGAAACTGAAATGAGATGGGGAATGTTTTCGCATGCAAAAGATCCTCAAACAAACTTTTTGGAAAGTGGACGGCTTGTCTGGAAGAGGCAATCTCCAATATTTGAAAACGCTGCAGACCCACTTAGGTCCTTTACTCACTAATCGCAAACGCGAGGATTCGAACTGCAACACATTACTACTCAGACGTCAGCTTTCTCAAATATTGGAGATTGCCTATTCCAGACAAGCCGTCCACTTTCCAAAAAGTTTGTTTGAGGATCTTTTGCATGCGAAAATCTTCCCCATCTCATTCAGTTTCATTTCTCATTCCCCAATTCCATTTCCAACGTATTCACCAGCCGGTGAGATCGTTCGAGAAAGAATGAAACTGCTAGACTGATGATCTCCGTTCAACACTTTCAACACTTTCAACACTTTCAACACTTTCAACACTTTCAACACTGGCAACACTTTCAACACTTTCAACACTGGCAACACTTTCAACACTTTCAACACTGGCAACACTTTCAACACTGGCAACACTGGAAACATCGGCAACACGGGCGAAGTATGGCCAAACCCTTAATTTACGATAGCACGCAGCTTCCCCCACTAACTTGATCTATGAAGAATTGAGGATGATGACGTTTTTGCAATATTAGACCTTTGCGCGTATGAAATATTATAATCGAATTTTTGCAACTCGACACTCGACACGTGCAGTTTCGCTGTAAAATCACGAAACTCTGTTTTCTTTGTTTTTTAAGGCGTATCATCGCTTTTTATGCGCTGCAAATCACACGTGATTTATCGAACTCGTTTTATACTCTGTTCGATCCACGGTTTGTAATGGCACATACAAAACATCACTGCAGAGAAAAGTTTGTATTGGTCATCTATAAAGTGCTCTCTAATTTTTTTGACACGATTTCCAGAAAAGGTGAGGAGAAATGCCTGTGAATATGCTCAACTCCAAATGTCTAGGATATAGGATTCAAATTTTGCGCTTTGTGTATCGGCGTGCATTTGCACACATGCGCCAAAGACCGCAAACTTGAAGTCTAGGGCTTCATATTTTTCCAAGAACTCATATTTTTAGTTTCTGCTGATACTTCGGTGCAGTTTCGAAAGTCTTTTCACAAGATATTTTTGTTTAACTCAATTTTTGTGGTTATTTCTACAGTTTAATTGTACTTTTTTGTTTGGGCCTGCTCCCGTATAGATCAGTTGTGACAGAAGTACTGCAGTATGTTTACTTCTTCTTCCTCGTACCACTAGTCTGACTCATTAAACTCTGTTTGTTGGTTTCTTCCCGAACATTCATCAGACGTAGTTCGAAGCTCACGCGTAGCTAGTGCGCGAGCAGTCTTCAAAGTGCATCCGGCTGGCTCTTTGGTCTCGTCCATTAACCTGTATATAATCCACTCACTTACTGCACTCCACACATCTTTCGACCACTCTGCCACATGTCTGTCGCTTCGATTGAACAGCTCTTCTCTCTCTCGTGAGTAAATCGCTATTGTTGTGATCTTTCGTCCATTAACTAATGCTTAGGTAGAAGAGATAGTTTTACATCGCTACTTTGTCGGTTCTGTGTATCCGAAGTTAAATACTAAAAAGACGTTTTAGGGGAAGTATGCTGTCACGACTGTCCGCACGTGGAATTGCTACTACTACCGCTGCTTGCAGGTTTGTTTCATTTTATTGTAGGAGAATTTTGAATTGTATTGGAGAGAATTTGTGCTTACCATTCTTTAATTTTTTACCGAAATAATTTGACTTCACCTTTTTCACCATTTTGCTCAATGTTTTGTTTCAGGGCATCAACGGTGTTCTCTGATAAGAATGAAATCGCATTTCCAATCCATGGAAAGGAGCCGAAACACGTTGAAATCAAAGACGCCTTTGGAAAGATTAAATCAGGTGGGTCACCATGTTTGCTATCATTCATTGTTATACTGTGATTTTTGGGCTTTTGATTTAATTTTCAACATTTTTTCGATAGGTCGTTTGAATGTGCACGCGACTAAGAACATAGTGGACAACAAAGTCTTTTTCATAAAATTCAAATTATTGGGCAGTACTTTGGTGAAATACCTCGTCAAAAATCATTCATTATTCTCGTTTTCGTTTGAAAACATTGAGGGAGTCCCGTTCACTGGTCTACAGTAATTACAGTGTTCGCTTTATTTGTACTCGCGAAGTCCTTTTACACCCGAATTGTGTTCCCGTAGTCGCGACATTTCTTTGTTTGACATTTTGATTCCACGTAAGGAGGTTTATTTGACTTTTTAAGCCTGTCTTCTTGTAGCAAACTTTGTTCCATGTCATTCGCGTTTGCGAGACTGAATAGTGTATTTTCAATAACACCGATTATCGATCGTGCTAATAATAATACAGACCATGATGTGATCCCAAAAGTGCAATAAAGCAGCTGTTAGTAGTGCTCGCTGTCTAATCTCAGCTCATCTTCGATGCCTCAATCTATTTATGGAATTCCATTGACATAAAACTTAGCTTAAGATTTGAAAATATTCTTATGCCCTATGACGAAACTCGGCAAAATTTATGCTTTTTTTCTTGAAAAGTCGTATACTTCTGAAATTCATTGGAGGTTATCGGACTGGATGAGCACCCTGCGCTGTTGAGTTACTCAGACATGTGTACTTTCATTGCTCACTAGATGTAGATTTCCAAAAAACAAAATGCATCCATTATTTCTTGCAGGAGACAACATTTTCATTCACGGAATTGCCGCAACACCCACTCCTCTGTTGAAAGGACTTTGTGAACATGCAAAAGCAAATAATCTCAAAGGAATCAAGCTTCATCATCTTCATTTGGAAGGCGAGACTCCATGGACTGCACCGGACATGAAAGGTACGTCTTTGCTGACATTTTCTCACATTTGTGATAACAATTTTGTTTTGTTGTGATTACGCACATTCGTTCTTTTTTTGTCATATACTTTATATGATCCTGGTTGCAGATCGCATTCGATCGAACTCGCTTTTCACTGGCACAAATCTTCGCAAAGCTGTTAATGAAGGTCTGTTAAGGTTTCTATATAATGTCCATTACTCCAATTTTAGCAGCTGATTTTCTTTCATTTTCAGGTATTGCCGACTTCAACTCGTGTTTCCTACAAGAGGTTCCTATGCTTTTCCGACGTGGAGCAATCAAGTTGAATGCTGCAATAATCCATGTAAGTGAATCATCTATCACAAACGTGATATTTATATCTGGATTCTGATAAATCGATCTCACCTTTACAAAGTTTAGTCAATTATGCCGTTATTGCTTGGCTTAGATAACTTTTTTGCTTGCTCATTTATAGTAGTTGAAAAAAAGAGATCAATCATTCGTAGTAAAAGCATTGCTGACTATTTTTTCGTCTTTACTTACAAACCGAATTGGGCTTATTGAAGGTTTCACCTCCTGACCAGAATGGCTACTGCTCCTTGGGTACATCTGTGGACTGCGCTAGAGCAGCCGTTACGAATGCGGAACACATCATCGGTAACTTAATTTTAAATGTCATTGTACCAGAGTGACTTTATCGTCTTTTTTAGCCATGGTGAACAAGCATATGCCAAGAACCTTCGGTGATAGTGTCATTCACCAATCGCACATCGACTACATGGTTGAACAACACGACTGGAAACTTCACGAGAGGCATATGGGTAAAGATAGCGAGGAAGAGAAGAAGATTGGACGAATCATTGCTGAGAACTTGGTCGACAATGGAGCCACATTGCAAATGGGTAAGTTTGCACAGCTTTAAATATCTTGCTATGGTTTTGGCATTTTCGTGATTGATTTTATGGAGCTATCACAGATGTTTAATTACTTCTTGTTACGTAAAATATGAAATTTCTGAGCCTTCTACCGTTGATGTGCTTGTGTTTAAAAGCTACATATTTTTCTGAAAATTTTTCAACACGAAGCTGATTAAGAAGGAATTTCTCTTCTTCTCTTCTTTTTTCGCGCGAATACGCTGGTATTTGTCAGGTATCGGTGCGGTGCCAGATGCAGCTCTAGCTGCTTTGAAAAACCACAAGGACTTGGGCATTCATACTGAAATGTTCTCTGATGGAGTTCTGGACCTGGTTGCCTGCAATGCAATTACGAATGCAAAGAAGGTAGGTCTCAAGAATAAGCCCTCCGGTTAAATTTATGCGTTTTTCAAGACAACTATGCACCTTTTTTGCTTATTCTAGGCCATCCACCCTGGAAAGCTTGTTGTCGGTTTCGTTTATGGATCAACTAAGTTATACGACTTCTTGAACGACAACCCACTTGTTGAGTTCGGTGATATCCAATGGGTAAACGATCCCGCTATCATCCGGCAAAACCCTAAAGTCACTGCAATTAACTCTGCCGTTGAAATCGATCTTACTGGACAAGGTGAGAGTTTACGTAATTTTATTTTCATGATTTTTCAAAATCCTGCATTTGCAGTTGTTGCGGATTCCGTCGGCAAGCGTTTCTTGTCCGGTTTCGGTGGACAGGTAGACTTCATCCGAGGAGCCGCTCTTTCCGATGATGGACTCGGCAAGCCAATTATTGCACTTCCAGCCATGTCAAAGAAAGGAATTAGCAAGATTGTGCCATATATCAACGAGGTTGGCAATAGTACCGTCAGCTTCCTTGTAATGAGTTAATTGTGTAATTATAGGGTGCTGGTGTTGTGACTACACGATCTCATGTGCATTACGTTGTGACTGAATACGGTATTGCTCAACTATGGGGAAAGAACATGCGACAAAGAGCTTACGAGTTGATCAAGATTGCTCATCCTTCCAAGCAACAAGAACTTGAGAAGGCCGCTTTCGAGAGATTAAAGGTAAGATTCATCTTTGTAATTTGTCATGTTTGTTATTTTTTTCATTTTGGAAGTCTTTCGTATTTTTTCTGCCATGACTTTGATGGCAGTGCCAGTATTTGGATACCTGAACTTTCCATGGGAAGATTTCGTAGCTAAGCCACTGTTTGAACGGGAGCTTATACGAATTACTCGTGCCCAAGAAACCAGAAAATTTCGACTTTTGCCCTATATCGTTTTTTGAGTGGACCAATCAGCGTCTATGATACGGTAATGGCCGAAAAGTTGGAAGTCTATTTTTCGGCACCGTCAAAGATTTCGTAAAAGCTACCGCTTGGGCAGTGACTTACTTGATACTTTACGTCGGTATCCTTGTAAGTACCTAGAATTGTCTTTCTTTTGATTTTGTGTCCTTCTGTAAAAATTTGTAAGAGTTTCTGATCCCCTTGAATACGTATCAGAGAATTTTTTCAATTCATTGACTCAAACCGCAATTTTTTAAACTTCTAATTGCACCGGTTTCAGGTTATGCCGTCCGCCGACTAATAAGAGACCTATCAAATGTCACTACGTGGTTGATTCGATGACTTTCTAATTTATCAATGCGATATCACTAGCGAATACTCTCCTTTTCTGCCTTTGTATAATAGTCCATGACCGTTGTCAGACCAATTAGTCGTCGTTATCTTAGTCAATAATGTGTCGAATATTGTTGGGTCAAATCTTCTTGCGAATGCATTTGTTGGTGACAGTAGTGTTTCTTTCACCGGTACTCTTTGTTTTCGAAGTGTTGTTTAGGACATGCCTAGGCGTAAGATTGTTGTCCATTGTTCAGAGTTAATTAAGAGATAAATAGCTTTATCGGGATAGTGTCGTTGCACTTTAGTAAAGAAGTGAAAATAAATTCTAATATTATGTTGTTTGTACCATCACACTCGTAAATCTAAAATCAAGAGCATACCATCGCCTTATCATTCATTATCTGCTCCACGCGTCTTATGCCCTTGTTTCGCCTTGAAACTTACGGCATGATAAGATTTACAGCGCTGATGCTCTTTTGTCCAATCTCTTTGTCATTAATAGTCGCTAACCCTGTCAAGCAATTTTGTTCACACAAATATTCTGTAAGTAATTACTTTCGGCGTGAATTAATAAGCCTTTGATTCGCAAGCATTCTTGAGAAAATATTCTAGCGTATTTCTTGGAGTAAATCTGAATGATAGCGATAAGAATTTTATTTGAATTCCATTACTGCACAGCTACAGTCGAATCACTCCATATGATCTAGTGTGTCATTGCACACACAGTCCGCCTTTGGCGTCGTCATCCTGGATTTGCAATCGCAAAAACGCTAGGGACTTACCAATTGTTATCGATTACATGAATAGCTGATTAATACCTGAACAGGAAAGAAAATGTTAAAAACACAATAGAAGACTTACCTAAAGTGTCGTTCCCACGAAACCAGGGTGGGAACGCCAAAGGTGGACTATATGTGCAATGACACACTGATCATATGAAATGATTCGACTGTACCTAGTATGATTCAAGTTTTCCTTGAAAAAGCTTTAATAGGTATTTGATCTATGATAGGCTGTAAAAGTTCAAAAGTTGCCATAATTTTGCCTTCAGTATCAGATGCTAATGCAGCAAAAACAATAAAACATTTAAAACCGAGGCACTTGAGCTATAGGTCGGTTCTAAAGTCTTAATTAACAGAAGTAATTGGGAAGTGGCAAATTCCGCCCCCATTTGTCCTGGACTCCTCCCACTTGCTTAGATATCAGATATAGGCGAGAGCGAGTACAGCTGTAAACTTTTGAAGATGTACATGCATTGGGTTTCGAGAAATGGCAAATTTAGTTTAAAAATGTCCCAGATTCGAGCCAACCTAATAAATCTCGATTGGCATCAGCATCCGATCCACTTATCACGATTGAATAGATAAGGTAGAATGAGATTTACCTCTTCAGGGGCCCACATAAGATGGTAAAATTGCAATGACGTGATTCAAGCTTCTACCAAAGACCAATGATATAGCTTTGGTAGCGACAAAGAAAGACCCATATATTCTGAGTGTTTTTTCTTGCTCTGTAACAGGAATAAGCTATCATTGTTACGGATATAGCCTCACTCCTCCATTGATTTCTTGCGTTAAGTGCTCTAATTGCAAGTCTTTGCTACTACTTTTTTTACAGCTTTTAGCACATCACCATCTCCTTGATTGAATCTCGAGGGAACAGTTAAAGTTAATGACTTCACACGAAGATCGAGTTTTTGCAGAAATCCCTGAAAAGAAATTAGGAATTACGTACTATAAATTTTATCCAGCTATACATGATAAGTGAGATTATTATCTCTTAGAAGATCTTGATAAACTTGGTAATAATCAGTTTATCAAATTTTTGGATGTTTGTTTTTATTTCTTGGAGCTCTATAGAAGGAAAAGCCCGTTTGCGTCCAGTAGGGTTTTGAATATGTTTTTCCGTCAGCATTCATGCTCGTAGATACTTGTATGCAAATAAACTATTTTTATTCTAAAGTAAACATCATCATGAAAAGAATAATCGAATAGAGGTAGATTGATGGCGGGTTTATTCGACGACAAACTTGACTATCCGATAGAAAAATATGAAAAGGAGTATTAGTATGTAAGCCGACCGAGATTAGTAGTTCATTAGTGTTAGCGGCCTAACGTTTCGACGTGTTCTTCTTCTTCAGAGGCCTAAAATGGTAAGAGATTTAGATTTTATGCTCTACCCCACCACAAACCTGCTCCACTCCGCAGCCAGCCTCGACTTTACTCTCGAATGTCACAAACGAAATATGCAAGTTCATGAAAGTCGAACTAACCTCCTCCCCGCTGCCGCTCAAATGGATGTTGAGTACGGCCGTCCTCGAGTGCTAGTAGTATGGAATACAATGTATACCATATTAACAATCAGTGGCATTCTTCAACTCACACAACGCTCAAAAGGCATAAAGTCATTCGTGATCGATGCGCACTCATTTCAGCTGTTTATCTATGGATTTCTTGCAGAAATACAAAATGCCTCGGGAGCTTCTTACCAGCAGTATCGTACTCGTATGTCAGCATAGTACATCTAACTTCGAAGTCTTTACCACAATGGAATTCAACATTGTTTTCACCAAGATGTGTGGTAAGACTTCCCCGCCTCTTGCTGCATGATGTTCTTTCATTCTTATCCAAGGTGGTCTCCCAGATTACTCGCATACAAACACTTCTACCAACAGTGCTATGGTTCACGAAAGAGGAAGCTTGGACGTTACTCAAAAATATGAAAAGATTGTGAAAAGACTTGCCAAAATCAGAACATATCAACAAATCTTTCCAAGGGGCTTTCTGCCCTCTTTATCTACAAGAGACAATTCTTTGGTTTTATCATCCCGCAACCTACTATCACTGCGCCGATCGCTTACTATAATCAATATGTGACTGCGACAATCTTTGGATTGTTCCTCAAAGAGGAACGCTGGTAACAGAGACTGTTACAATTTTGTCTTCCATATTGTCTATTCTGGATCATTTAGTTGAATTTTGTATTTTGTAGTTTGATTTTTTCAAGTGTGTATGTACTAATTTCTTCTATTTATCGGATTCTGACGATAAGTTGTTTGCATGTAATAGTGCTCAGCCGATTGTCTGAAGTTCTTGAATCTATCACGCAGACTTTGAGAGCCATTTATTAGAAGTCGTGTGCTTTTATAGGTCCAACATATCATCATTCAAAATGAATTTAGTCCGAATTCGAGGTGATTCGATTATTACTGAAGCGCCGGTAGTTGTAATTTACTTTCCTCTCACTAATCTTTCTCATCTAAAGTTATATATGCATAATTCTATGTGGAAGTTGAATAGGTTTTTCGTTAAACATGAGAGACAGGCATGATAATTCGCATCAGGCATGATAATTCGATCGAGATTCGCAACTTACACCTTGCCGGCAGTTCGTATGATTTTCTCACGAACAACTAGAATCACAGCAGTTGCACTCTCTACATCCTGTTTCTTTTGTGGATCCGATTCTTCTTCCATTTTACTGACTTATAGAATATCAAAACATTAACGTTAGATGAAAGGAGAAAAAACAAGCGGAATCGTATTAAATGGCCTTTTTTGAATTTTATTCATTTGGTTGTTTTGTACGGCAGAAGGTGCTTGTCGTTTCAACACAACTAAACCATATCATTTCAAGGTGTATAAAACGACAACAAATAGAAAAAAAAGAAAAAACGACAAAGTTGAAGCAGAATTTAATGAATCAGTCATCCGAGTCTAGTCCGATCTACTTTGCACTCAATGGAGGAAAAGAGAGACATAAAACCACGTTGGCAACATAGTTGCCCCTTCGCTCATCAGCTCGAACAGTCACACTAGACATCTTTTTCTCCAATTTTAGACTTTCGTGAAATTCTTTTACTAGAGCATCTGTTGAAATATAATTCCGATAATCAATATGAATTCGAAAACTAGAGAAAGTAGTGAAAAAAACGCTTAGAGGCATATTTTCTTTTGATTTTTTCTCTTTTTGGTGCAGCGCGAGTTTGCTGAATAAATAAATCACGTTATCAAAAGCTTGTCTTCAAATGTAAATTTATAGGATTTTCATAAATTTCGCTATATGTGTGGAGCTCGAAAAAAACTCTATTTAGCATGAGTGGGCAATGCTTCATTGCTGCTTGTCAAATAATGTTCATCTTAAATTACAATGTTGCGTTTTATGGAATAACTTTCTGGGAAACTCCTCCCTTTCTTGTGACTGAATAAAGAAACAAGTCTTAATTGTTTTCTCCGGAAGATCTTATTCTTTATCATTTATTCATCGAGTAACCTCTAGCTCTTCATCCAATCTATGGATCGAAATTTAGTAGAGCTATGTTTTTCACGCATAATTCTATGTGTTCTCGAAGTGGATAGTTTTCTATACAAGAATTTTGAATACAACTTGAACAATTTTATTGTAATGCAAAATACCTATAACAGAAACATTTTGTTGAAGTGAAGAGGTAAGTGAAGATCAAACTTTCTCATATAGCGAGTATCATTTGTAAGAGGAAATGATCGGCGACTTATTCTACTCCATTCGCATGCATACAAAAAATTATTTTTTATATTGTTCCATTAGACTGGAGATTTTTTATGGAATTCGGCACTACTTCAATGTCTCGTGTAAATCCACACATCATTCATACCGTTATGTTCAGTTTCTGCGACAATGTCATTTTAAACTGAATACTTCAGATTAAAAATGGGAGCAATGTCTAAATTTGACAAGGTCCGGTTGCTTGCTTCTGTGCTCTCTTTCAAGCACTATGGGCCTGGTCTATGCGGGATGTTTGCATTTATAGCCATCATCAAATGGTATAGCAGGACAATCAAGTGAGTTCATCAGGCATACTACACCCTACGGAATTTATCAATAATATCATATGATTATGTGAAAATTAGGCATATTTTCAAATTTTATATTCATAGTCGCAAATAAATAAAATGTATATCCATTATCTTAAACAACAAATGTATTTTTGTTACTGTTAAAATGAGAATATTTCGTGTTCCATTCTTTTTCTTTTGAATTCGTATGGCTAATGCTCACTTGTTTACTAAGTAGCAACTATTCCGAGAGGAGAACCTTACATGATAGTTGGTACCATTAGTAACGATTCCAGAACATTTTTCCAAGAGGGAGGGGGTGAAGCAAAAATTTACAGTTTCAAAAAACAAATAAGTGATCGTCGAATTCTTCCAGGTTGGTATGTTGAAATGGTAATCGTAATAAGATGGTATGAAATTGAGTTATCAGTGAATGAGGTTGCCTGCTTGATTTTGTACCCCACATCTCTTTTTAAGATTTTTAGACCCCATTCATTAGGAAAGGAAGGAGGAGTTACTGGCTTTTAATCACAAAGTCAATTCGAAAAATTCCTTTGAAAAATTTGGCATTTTTTAGAGCATCGAGGAAGGCCTTAATGCCAAAGACGAAACAAAAGCCGAAAGACAAAGTGCACGTTGATGGAGCATTTTTCCGCAAACTTTGGCGTATACTCAAAATTCTTGTGCCAAGCCCATTTTGTGGAGAGGTTTGTCCTGCTTTCTGATTTTTCAAAATCTTTAATCTACACAATTTTTTAGGTATTCTATCTAGTTCTTATAGCTGTAGCATTACTCTCAAGAACATATGCTGATCTTTATATGATCACAAAAACTACAAGAATCGAAGCGTAAGTTAAAAATCAAGATATAATATTTTTGCGAGTCAAGTTTATTTTAGAACAATCATAGACAGAGATCAAATACAGTTCATCTTGGATTTGGTAAAATATATTTTGGCGCTTCCAGCAATTTCCGTGACAAATACTGTCCTAAAGGTATTGAACAATAAGATCACACATTTGATTGAAAGTAATCTCAGAAAAAAATGAAAGTAATAACAAACAAAGAAATCTTTGTGAACGAGTTATTTCACGAGTTATTATTGCCTTCTCCTCTTACATTCATATTTTTTGATTGGATTTGATATTTGAAAATGCACCCAAGTCATTGTAGAATTTTTAGTTTGGTCTAAGCGAGTTGAAACTAAGATTCCGTGAGCGACTGACCAAACATCTCTACGGACAATATCTGAAGTAAGAAATTCTACTTAGATTTTTCAACTTCTAATTGCTAACTTTTTAGTGGCTTTACATTCTACAAAATGTCCAATCTTGACAATCGAATCCAAAACGCTGATCAACTATTGACCCAGGACGTGGATAAATTCTGTGAAGGACTAGTCGAACTTTACTCAAATGTCACCAAGGTAATCTAATCCATAATCGTTTTCTATGACCATAAAAAGTTTCCTTCTTTCTTCAGCCCCTAGCTGATGTGGGCCTCTACGTTACTCGACTTGGTGGAGCTCTCGGATGGGAAGCACCAACAATTCTATTCGCTTATCTAATCGCTTCTGGAGTATTCCTCACCTATCTTCGGCGACCGGTGAGTTCCTTGGTCTTAGAAGGGAAACTGAGAAGAAGATGAATATTGCAGATTGGGCGATTAACAGTGGAAGAACAAGCGCTAGAGGGCGAATTCCGCTTTGTAAACTCTCGTCTTATAATGAACAGTGAAGAAATCGCTTTCTATCAGGTATGATCTACTTTTTATCCAACAGTAAGTTGCAGTAGTGCAGTGAACGGTTCAGTGATGTCTAATTCATCCTTCATCTTCAACGGTTTCTCTCCAGAGTTCTTCAAGGCGTTGTGGACCCCTTTTGAGGAAATTAGGATCGAATTCCGGATCAAAAGATCAAAACAAATCCAAATCAGTTTTTTGTGTTGTTTTGGAGAATTCTTACATTAGTCCCCTAGGTTGTATTCACATCTGATTTTCCACAATATGTTCCGCTTTCTCCACATCTGCCATTGGGACTACCGAACTCCTACAACGACCTTATAAATCTCGCTCTGGAGAATTTTATGACAAAATGCATACAATATCGATATTTGGGATTCGCGTAAAGAACTAAAAAACATTTAGTAGACAACCAAGCTACACCTCACAAGGGAATGGTCAGAAGTCGAAGTGGGCAAACCAAACAAGCTGTATACCATTCGATGCAGTATAAAACGCTGACTTCGAATCTGTCTTACTTATCTGCTTCCCGCTTCTGTGGACAAAGCTACAAGCCATTAAAACCCATTATTTTGCTAAGAAATTACGCGTGAAATTGAAAATTTAGCCGTGCAGAGCCACGCTCGTCTTAATGCTGGGCCAAAACATGCAGCTAGCTTACTTCAAATTTTTAAAGAAAGAAGCTGAGCTAAAAATGCAACAGTGTGCTCAACTTCGCTGTTTTTATGTGTGATTTTCTCACAATAAAACCGCTTGTAGCTTTGTCCACAGAAGCGGGAAGCAGATAAGAAAGACAGATTTGAAGTCAGCGTTTTATACTGCATCGAATGGTATACAGCTTGTTTGGTTTGGCCACTTCGACTTCTAACCATTCCCTTGTCAGTCAAAAGTACAAGGAGTCAAACTCGTTCTGGCAAGATCTCCAAAAAGTACAACTTAGTGGTTTTGAGTTCAAAAACTAAGCCAGAATTCAAAAACGCGAAATAATCGAGAAATGCATCCAAATCCCAAAAAATATTTGTATTACAATCAATTGTTTTACAAATTGCCTGAAAAAATGATGCATGCTTTCACATTTTGTTTGAAGTTAGATCTGTGAGAGTAATTTATTTGCGTCCAAACAATGACCAAAATAGGTTGAGCTTCGTAATTGTCAATTTTATAAACGTCGAGTTCGGCTGATGACTTCTTCGGCCGTCCAAGTGTAAAAATGTGCATTCAAGGGTAATGATCGAGAACGCGTCTCCATTCTTGGGTCATTCGGCAACCTTGTCAGTCATTTGAGAAAAGTGATATTATTCAGGTAAAAAATGAAGATCCCGTTGTTTGAAGCTTTCAACATGTACCGTATTCAAATTCTTTTCAGATTCTCCATAGGTTGTGTAGACAACATCATAGCTAAATATCTTGCCAGTGTGGTTGGATGGTATGCAGTTAGCCGACCCTTCAATGACAAAAACAATGAAAATTTCAATAAGAAGACCAAAACCGACCTGATCGAGGTAATTTGATAATTTTTACACTTAATATAGAAGCTATAAGAACAATCCAGGAGCTTTACAATTCTGGTCGCATGATGTTGAAACTGGCAGAAGCATTAGGTCGTTTGGCACTGGCTGGAAGAGAGATGACCAGATTATCCGGATTCACTTCCAGAGTTGACACTCTACTCAATGTAATTGAAGATCTAGGTCATGGTAGGTTTTGCTCAATAATACATGAGGCAGCGTGCATGGGAAAATCTTTTATGGATACTTAGACGTAATTGCTTATTTGAGTCATTGCACGAGCGGCAACTCACATGGTTTACTTGCGGCCAAGAATTTCAAGGCTGAATCTTCGCCCGGTGCCGTACGCTTCAGAAAAGATACGGTGGCGGGCGAGTGTCTAGACTCGAATTTCTCAGTCGCGAATGAATAATTTGAGTTGCCGCTTGAGCAATGACTCAACTGGGACTCTTGAATCAATTTCCACATAAGAAATTCGGTACTTATCGTTAAATGCGGCTGGATATTTTTCTCAAAGTATCAATAGTTCTATACTAAATTTAGGCTCCTATGAACGCACGATGATAAGTGACAAGAGCGATTCGGACGACGAACGAAAGCATTTGGCAATTAGGGACTTGAAACCCGGTGCAGGTAGGGTAGAGGAAATATTTTACCCTTTGATTCAACTGGCTTGGCGACTGGAAGGCGGGGCTTCGTGACCCAATTGAGGCTAGATAACGATCAGAGAGACGCGGGCAGAGACGCAGACTGCGTCGCGGGCGCGAGTGGCCTTAATTAGGTCGCAAAGCCCCGCCTTCCAGCCGCCAAGCCAGTTGAATCAAAGGTTACCTGTTTACCATAAATTTGGAAACGAATGTTTCTAAGAGCTATTACGTTCCAAACCTATAGGGAATTGATTTTTTCGTTTTCAATTCTAATATTACTATATTACTTATATTCTAATATTCGCATAAAATGCGAATATTCTTTGAAACTTCCATTTTTTTCCTTCATTTTGCAGGCCATCTCATCATCCAAGACAATGTGATTCGTTTCGAACACGTCCCACTGGTAACTCCCAATGGTGATGTTCTCATTGATGATCTCAATCTTGTGGTTAGTATCTAATCTCAAGCAAAGTACGCAAGTGCACAAGTTTTAGGTGCCATCTGGAACGAACGTACTTGTTTGTGGTCCGAATGGATGCGGGAAGAGCTCATTGTTCCGAATTTTGGGAGAATTATGGCCATTGTTTGGTGGAACTCTCACTAAGCCGGCAAAGGGAAAATTGTTTTATGTACCTCAGGTAAAGTTTTGTTTCTGAAGATTTGGTTTTTAATGGAGAGCTGTTTTATTTCTTAGTTTTCTGCTGGTCGGAATTTTTTGAGGGATGAGTGATTCAAGAAATTGAGCTAGATAATTCATGAACGTGTTTATCTAGGATATGAAATAGGGTTTAGATATCTTGAAAAACTCTTCCATTCTTTGTTAGATCTACTGCAAAAACTAAAAAATCAAAATTCTTCTCATTTATCGTGCAAATGAGTACTTGTGATTGGCCTTGGTCATAACGTTCTCTTTAAATGACTTTGTCTCAAGGGTTTTTAGAGCACCTTTTAGATGTTTAGGCATATTTCATTACACTGCCTAAATAAGAATTTCTGACTTTTATCAATTATTAAGGCTCTCTTTGAATTCAGAATGTCTTTTGAAAAGAGTAGAACATCAAAATATGGACAGTTGATTTTGCCATCTATTTTTCGTTTATAAATTCTTTTTGCAGGGGATAATGTTATGCATATCACTTTCTTAATAAAATCAGTTCATTTTCAGAGACCTTACATGACTTTGGGGACCCTACGAGATCAAGTGATCTACCCAGACAGACCTATGGACATGTTGAAAAAAGGATACACTGACAAAGACCTTGAGGAGATGCTGGCACACGTAAGCACCAATTTTCCTTTGGAATTTTTCGAAAGAAATCTTTTTGAACTTGTTTGCTGAGTATAACAAAAATTCATAAAAACAGCAGGAAGCAATAGTTTTAAAATATATCTTCAAAAGTTTTTGATTTTTTTGAGAGAATTTTCATAAGGGCTATATTTTGAAACAATAAATTATACAAACTATACTAATTATTATAAGAACTATAGAATAATGAACTCAGCCGTTAAAGATAATTCTCTCTCTATATTCAAATATATTCAGTATTACTTATGTAAAAGTATCTAGTCTTATTTTTGAAGAGGAATGGGTAGCTTTTTAGAATTAATTCAGCAATGAAAAATTTATGTATGAAGAAGTCCTTAAATTTCAAAAACTTTCCTGCTACGTTTTTGCTACTAATGCTCCACTATTCTATCAGAACGGTTGCGCTCTCTGAGTAGAATGGATCAGGCAAACTTCTTCCAAAACAGTTGGTCTGAAACCTGTCTCTGTAAAAAATTTCAAAATCTCACAGACAAATCTTCTTCTTGCCTCTCTCATTGCTCCTCAACATCTTCTGGCATCTGCCATTTGTATAATCAGGGGATCTCTTCTTTCCTTTGGCTCCCCCTCCCCCTTGGCCCTCTTCTCCCCTCCTTCTCTCCTCCCTTTGGCTTTATATCGTGTTTACTTCACTATTTTACTCTAGCACACCTCAAAAACTTCGTCCGTTTTCAAAATTTCGACTTGCCTTTTGAAATGTATGCACCCTCATTTCGTATTATTATACAAGATCCCATTCGAACACGTGGGATTTTTTTACGGGTGCTTAGATGAGCAGAGCAGCGCAAGTATCACTGGCTTGCCAGATCCGTGCTACTGCCGTGCCGGACCCACGTGTATGTGTCCCGTATCGATCGATCGACTTTCGGCACGCCGGTGACACAGCGCTGGCACGGGCAACTCTAGATGCAGCCCTAAGTGTGCTGCCAGTCTATTGACATAATCTCAAATTATTTTTGTGAATGAAAGAAAACCTGATGTGTATATTATTGATTTATTGATTAAAGATTCACTTTCACGAGTATGTGCAAGTTATGATCAAATCGTGTATCAAAACTCCATTTGCAGGTACAACTTTCGCACATTCTCGTTCGAGAAGGTGGATGGAATGCTGTGCAGGATTGGATGGATGTTCTATCCGGCGGAGAAAAACAGAGAATCGCCGTGAGTCTCGCATTTGCAATGTAAACAGAACTTGTGTTTGGAGCGTTTGCTCTGTGATTGCAGCGAAGGCACTATCAATTACGAAAGAAAGAAACATTGTTGTAATTTTGGGGGAAAAGTGCAACACGCTGAGGGCCCATGAGTTGTTATAAATCTGTTTTCTCATTCACATAAACAATCCTGCGGAGGTTACCCAAAAAGCAAAAAATTTAGAGTTCAATATTTTTTACGATTTAAGAACCATTGCAATTAGGATTTATCAATCTGATTTTGCATAGTTCCAAAAAACCATTGGTTTTGTTAAATGAATAAAAATGAAGAATTAATTCAGAATTGGTAAGTGATTTGATAAATTCCGTTTGCATTGATGATGTAATTTTGATAAAATGGTTTATTTCCAAACTGTCATCAATTTTTGCGGATTCGCACTTGATTGCTAGCTGCGTGTGTCGTTCGATTGGAGCGCGCTTACTTCCTCGAGGGTACTGGCGCCGTCGCCGTTTTGGACCCTAATAAAGAGGAGAGGAAGACTTTTGAAATCAGAGCGTTACTATTGACTAAACGAGTGCGAATAGGTAGAGGTGGGTTCTTGCGCTAGTAATGGTAATGACTTTCTGATACGGTCTTTTGAGGGCAGCTATTTTTTTGATCTGGAACCCTTAGGCCTACCCTAATTTCACGCGTACAAGGCGCGGGGACTTTTTTTTCAAAATCGACCAGCCCAAATACGCCAAAGAACTTCGCAACCAAAGGATCCTATGCCTTGCTGTATATTGCTTAAGAGAATCGTACGGTATAAGGATCGCTTTCCGAAATAATTTAGAGCGGCTGAGGGGCTTAGTCGAAAAATCGAAAAAGTTGCGCCTTGTACGCGTGAAATTAGGGTAATTACATATATGAAGTGTAAACTAATCCTTAAAAGATTTTTCGGAGCATTATCCTGAAGGCACAGCCGACTTTCGGTACTTGGGTGGGCGGAGCTTGATGGGATGGGCGTGGCTTGTAGCACTTTCGCGGGATTCAGGTCCATTTTTTTTCCATTCAGACGCAGATTAGAGGACCGGACAAGAGTAGATGACCTATTTCCAAGGCCTTCTTGTAGACTAGGCACTGATCGGAGGAGCATGAATTTGCTTGGACGCTGCCTCTAAACCGTATATTTACCGCAATCCTGCAGATATTTTCTCACATGCGGAATGAATGTTATTTTTGTGATTAATATGCCAAATAGCTCCCTGAGTAAAGTTTAGAATCCGAGATTTTTGGCATTTGAAGAATGTTCTCTTCAATGAAATTGTAAATCAAATCTCTTGTGAATTACCTAATGCAAATCTAAGCACAACGACGAGACTGAACGCTAATTTTTAGATGGCTCGTCTATTCTATCACAGACCGCAATTTGCAATTCTCGACGAGTGCACTTCAGCGGTCAGCGTTGATGTTGAAGGTCAGTTAGTCATCTACTGTTCTTCCACATTTTCCATTTCATTTCAATTTTCTTGTTATTCAGGCGCTATGTACAAAATCTGTCGTGAAATGGGCATCACTCTATTCACAGTCTCACATCGTAAATCATTATGGGTTCATCATGAGTATTACCTACACATGGACGGTCGTGGATCCTATCAATTCGAGAAAATCGACGAAAATACTGCAATGTTTGGATCTTGAGAAAGCGAGCTCCCCACTTGACTTGAGAGCTTCAAATATCTGAAAAACTGATGAACTAGTCTATGCTCGTGCCTTTCTGTTAAATTGTGCATGTTTTGAGTGCTATCATACTCTCTTGTTTCGTTGTTATGCCTTGATTTATCTATTTCTAAACCGTGATCGTACTCCTACAGCGCGTTTACAATACCCTTACAGTAGGTGAATGACTCGTATGTCGCCTGCACAATACTATCCAGAAGATTTAAGAAATAGTGCTTCTACGGTGCCAACAACACTTTTACGCGTAATATGGTCCCCAAAACTAGGAAATGCCCCCTTCGGGGCCTTTCCACGCGCAAAGGCGTAGTGAGTCGTGTCGCTTGCACAAGTATTATCTAGCGGATCTGAGACGTACTGGCCCTACGGTGCCGACAACACTTGCGCGTCAAAGTGGTCATAGACCGCGAAAGCCGGAAGCATGCGGCTCATAAGCATTTGTTGCGGTAGTTGGCAAATCTAAAACACTATATAAGTTCCAATTTATCATTCTATAGGTTTGGATGACTTTAAGTCTTTGCCAACAATACGAAAGAGCTTTTTTGTAATCTCGTAAAATTCGTCCCAAAAATTTATTTGAAGGGGGGGGGGGGGGAAGATGGAGAAGACTAGCGATGAAATTGTTTCCTGATTACAAATATTCATCGATTTAATAATTCTGAATCCTTTCTTTAAAGCTAATTCAAAACCTCATAAAAATTACAAAATGTTTCACTTTTCTAGCACACTTCCCCCCCCCCCCCTCTCCGCCAGTTTGAGTGGTTAAGGTATTTGCTAGCAGCAATGCTGTTAACAGCTGATGTAGGTCCCTAAGCGCAATAGAATACTGTAACGTTGGCAAGACTTCAAACCGCTCGCGCCCACTTGTGTAGCCGACATACTGGTCATTCATTCGACGCGGATTGTAACTACTCAAACTCACTAGAAGTACCTCTTTTTATTATCTCAAAATTGCTTTTTATTTAGGAACTTTGTAACCTTTTTGATTTTAAACTTTTAATTTTTGATATTTTTTTGAAAGACTGTATACTTTGCTCAAATCACAAATCATACATTGTTGATTTTCCGTTTTTTCAAAGAATGCCCCATATTTTGACTTACAGTTTCTGCCCATTATCTTTGCCTGTTACTTCACTTCAATTTTCGGTTTTTTCTTGGCATTGATTTTGGAATAAGCTATTTTCCTGCCCTTCTTTTAGTTCTGCTGTCCGAAAAAATGAAAATATTCTGAAACAATCACGTCTTTTCGTCATACTTCCAAGCAATTTGGAGTTTGGAGTTTTTGTTTTTATGATGTTCGCTGGCAATAATGCCAACGAACGGCATCGCTGACACACTCGTTGTCATCACTCATGTTCGCTACTCGAGAAACACACGAAAAGTATCACGTTATGTACACACTAGCCAGTTGCCTCTCACTTAGCATTGTTCTGTAGGATTCGCCTTACAATAAAGTACGATGAGTTCCATGAATCAGGCTGTTTTTGAAGATCCAACGAGCACGTGCTCAAGCGCACAGAGAGTCAAGATATTGGCTCTCAGCGATGTTCGTAAAAGAGTTCTGAACTACGTCGTTGCAGAAGACGCAGGCTTTTCTTCTTATGTTTTAAATTCACATTGCAGCTGTGCCTCAACCAGGGCTCGGCACGAGGTGGCTAGATGAAAATGCAAAAAACGAAGTCCCCCTTGATTTTTGGGTATTTTTACGAAGTCCCCTTTGACCCCCCACCATACTCCCTTAAACCAAAAAAAAAAACGCCGCCAATTTTGCGTGTCTTCGTCCACAAAAACGAAACCCCCTTTGCTTTTTGTCCCAAAAACGATATCCAGCTTGCTTGTAAGCCACCTCTGCCGAGCTCTGGCCTCAACACATTCCTCTGTATACAATTTCATTGATTTTGGGAAATCAGTGGAAACTGGATATATTTCGTCCACCATCGAATCAGTATAAGACTATGCTTGCCTGCATTCTAAAATTCTTCAGTGCCTTTTCTATAATAGCCAAAAAGTTTGGTTTTCCATTTTTTCCATTTCTTTTCCTCTGCTACTTTAGGTAAGATGTTGAGTTTTTAAATCGCGTAGCAAGTTTCCTGTGCTTTTTTGATATCTCGCTCAGTAAAATAATTTCAAATCACACTAAGTTGTTTTTTTTTAGAGTTCTAGATTCTTCATTTGATTTGAAGTTTTAGATTCTTTCTGTGGGTGAAATGCATTTTTAACAACCGGTTTCTCCTTCGAGCCCCATTTTTATAAAGTTGATTAGACTTGTTCCAATCTTCGTTTTGCAAAATCAATCTAATAAATAATCGTTTTTTTAAATTCATCAAGTCCAAAGAAAGTAGCAAGGCTTCTAAAAGCCGGAGTGTTTGTTCTACAAACTTTTCATTGGCTATATTTGCAACGAAGACAAGATCATTTTTCTAACTATCTCATTTACTAAGGAAAACAAAATGAGACAGTTATGAGGGGCCAGTGAGCTATAGTTGATCCGAGCACAGTGCAGAATAGATGCACTAAGAATGTGCACAAAGAGTCTCCAATAATGGGCTCTGTCCGTGAATAAGATGGTGCTTCATTCGATGTTATAAAGCTAAAATGGACTCAACATGGAATTTGCTATGTTACCACCTAAAGGAGTGTCTTTGCAAAATTTCTTTCAGAATTTCACCTTTTCGGAGCCTTCTCGCCATGAGGAATCCATATCTGGGCTTTTCAGCGCATGAAAATAGCAAAAATGAGCTTTTTCCGAAGATTTCTAGGTCCGCATTCGGTGAAGATACGTCGGAAAAAGTCGCGCCCCTCCTCCTTCATTTCGTGCCCCGCCCACTTCTCTACTGAATGCGGACATGAAAGCTTCGGGAAAAGCTCATTTTCGTCATTTTCGTGCTCTGAAAAGCTCAGATATGGATTCCTCATGGCAAAAACGCTCTGAAAGGGTAAAAATGGAAAACGAAATTCTGCCGAGACATTGTCTTCAATATTATTCCATGTATTTAGGGCACTGTCACAAAAATTGGTGTTAGAAAGTCTAAAGGAGTAACCGTAAATGAAATGAGCAAGCCCTAAAATAGACATAACGACCAAGAAATTCCCAAAAGCACGAATCCGATCACCTGTTTCGTAAACCACCAACATATAAGTTGACAAATGTGGACAGCGGACCACGGCAGTTGTCCGCTGCTGCGTCAGCTGTTTCCGCCCTCGACATCGCTGACAACGACTGATATCCCGAGCTCTTGTTCTTTGCTATGTGTTGTCCTATGTTTGTACTTCGACACATCACAATCTATCAAATGTGCAGGCGCTTTCGGTAAGAAAAGGTGGCTGAGATCTTTTTTGTGGGACCACATGTGAGCTCAGAAGTGCTCTTGAAACTCTGCTGCTGCGTCGTCTATGTATCTTACCAGTTCTTTCTGCGTCCAACATATGCCAAGCATTTCTGGTTCGCTGTAATATGCACTTAGACGCTTATATCAAGGCTACCGACCCTATCGCCAAGTCTTGGCTCTGTTCCAATTAAAATAATAAATTTGAAGCTGGTAGAAGCACTTTCACATATTTACGTTCAGTGCGTCGTACGTCATCAACATTTTGCAGTGTTTCTGTATTTTTTCAAATTTTCCCTTTCGTGTAAATTCGTTTGGACCACTTTCCACTGTTAGATTCACAATTTCAGAATTTACAAAGAGAAATGATTTTTTTATGGTTAAAGTACCATTTTTAGTTTTCCACCTGTCATTAAATGTTCTGAAACTATCCGTGGACTATTTTGAATTGTTGCATTTCTTTCCTCACGAATTTGCTCAACACTTGAGTTCCGAGTTTTCCAGATCATAAAAAATGTATCCCCCATTTTTTGATGCCCCACCATCTTTGCTGAAAAAACCAGATGGCTCCATATTATTCGAGTGCATATGTAATGGCAGTCCTCAACCGAAAATTCAATGGTACGGATATTTTTATCATTACATAATCGTCTAGCTAATCTTATCGTTCAGGTTCTTCAAGGATAAAGAACTGACAGATCCCCGATATGAGCAGAAAATCAAGAAAAGTGTTGGAAAGTGGACGGTCACTTTGGTTATGAAGGTTCGTCTCATGCTTACCATATTGATCTACAGCCATACTCTTTGTTCTAGTAGGTTGTCCCAAAAGTAAAGTCCATTTTCAAATAATTTGAGCTGATTTTGACAGATTTAGGGTACCATTCGGTAGAGCGCAGCAAGCTCTACAAAAAGACTACCAAAGTTCCACCTAATTCATAACCTAGGTAAATTTTGTAGCCAAAAATCAAAATTTTTCAGCTACCCAAAAAATCGGATCTCTTTCCAGAAAACGGTACTTTTCCGTTATCCGGACCCATTTATTCAAAAGCCTCTCATATTATATGTTTTTACTCTAAGAATAATTTTTCATAGATTCTATGATGGCTACCTCCTTGCCACGTGTCACGAAAAAATTGACATGTTTTGGTTCATTTTGACATGTTTTTTTTTCGAAACCATTTCAGGTGAGATAAAGGAGAATATGTGATCATTTTGAAGCTGTTCGACTGTTTTACATAAGAGCAAAACAATCATGAACTTATTTTAAAACATCTTGCTTGCTTTCAGCAATGATCAAAAATATCTTTCTCTTCAAACCCTTCTGGCCATGCGAATTTAGCAAGAAAAGGTTATAAATGATAGCTTAAAGTACTTTGCTGCTGCTTATTTCGCCTCTTGAATGTCGGAATCCTAGCCATTTTCTCTATTCTGAGCAAGTTAGGCTCTTCATCGATGACAGTATGTCGTCATCATTATGAAAATGTTCATTTTGAAACTGTTTGATCGAAATGAGGTCAAAATTAATTAAAAACAGATTGAAGCTACATCGCTAGGTAGGGTAGCACAAGCTCTTGGTAAAACCTGTCAAACATGCAGATGACATGTCAAATTTTTTTGACACGTAGCAGAAGGTTGACACTGTTTCCTGTGAGGCTGGGATAAGATATGGTGCAAGGATAGAAGCAATATTTTTCTTTGAAAAAATGGGTCCGGATAACGGAAAAGTACCCAGAAAACTTCTTCGGACTTCCAACTTGGTCTTTATATAGTAGACACATAGTAGTACCCAAAAATGTATTTGGTGGATTTTTTCCAAGGCTCAAAATCGAGGAAAAAAATAGCTCCCAGAATGCCAAAGTGCCACTTTTTTCAGGCTTTTTATGCAAAACTCGGCATTTCTTGATTATAAGAGCACAAGAGCACATATAGGGGTAAGGCTCTGAAATTATACTTAGAAAGGCGTGTAGCATACATATATGGGAGGGGCTGGAGGCAGAGTTTGCCTTTTCCTGGAAAATTTTTGTTTCTCGCTTTCTATGCTCGGAAAAAATTCGGCAAGAACATATTTGAGTACTACTATGTGCCTACTGTATAATGACCGCTGGAGGTCTGTAGAGTTTTTCCTCGCGGAAATCCAATTTTCAGGTGACAAAATTCTTTTCGATTTTGGCTTCAAACTTTACATGGGGCGGTCATTTTGTAGATCATGATCTGTTCTATCGAATGAAATCCTAAGACTACAAGGAAAACAAAAACAGCTTGAGTTATTTAGAAAAGGAGTTTACTTTTAGAACTTAATTAATCATCACAGCTAGCAATAGAACAACGATAACGTCCTGTATGTATGTTGTAGATGCTTCTGAGTTTAATTTCAATATTACTTTTCGCAAACATATATGCACTTCGGGAATGGAATGCGAATCAAGCCGTCAAGAATTTTTATTCCACATTGCTGCTGAAGTCTGGAGCTGTAAAGCGTTTATGTTCTGTCATAAATGATCGTTTTTGTTGAAGCTGAGCATAGTCTTTCGCGCTTGAGTGGACGGATCTAGTTTCAATCAATCTAGATTTGCGATGAATATGCGTAGCTTTCATAATGGATTTGGAGAGGTTTTCGTGGATAAGTGTAACCTTTGATTCAACTGGCTTGGCGGCTGGAAAGCGGGGCCGTGACCTAATTAAGGCCACGCTCGCGCCCGCTACGCAGTCTGCGTCTCTCCCGCGCGCGTGCTCTTTGATTATCTAGCCTTAATTAGGCCACAAAGCCCCGCCTTCCAGCCGCCATGCCAGTCAAATCAAATATTTTGTAATGAAAATCAATCTTGCAGTGTGAAACATTAAACTGAAATAGTTAGGTATGCTTTGAAAATTTGCTGCAAAGGTAGTCATATACTTCGAATCTGAAAAATCTCAAACTGCGAGTACATTATTGTTGCCTTCCAGATAGACAATAAAAACGATTCCCATCCTCTCACCGTGCACTAACTTTAAAAGTGGTTAAAAGTTGTAACACCAATAGTGATGTGCTCTCCTAATATTCTGAAAGAATCTGACTCTTGTTATGCGATACAGTAAAAGCTAACACCCATCACCTTTCCATAAGAGTTCATGACAAGCCTCTGTGATTGTAAGTTTCATCCTCATTACTGAGGACAGAAGAAGTGTAAAAATTGTCATACCTTCCGCAATGGAGTTTTGAAAGTTTTTCTCTAGTGTAACACTCTTGAGTAACGTTTAATGAAAATATTTCGAAAAAATTCCTTTTTGGTTTACTGAGTGACTTTTCACTTGATGGCTTTAGTTACATAATTTTTTATGAAAACTAGTAAAAAAAATCTTTAATGAATAAAATTGATGAGGATTGATACGCATTCTTTTCCACATTTTTATATATACATATATTTTCGGTACAAGCATTTTTTTGCACGATTTCTATTCAATCTCAAAAAAGAAAAAATCATTCGCACTTTTGCATACTTCTAGCAATAGATATTTTACCTTACAATGACATCTACTGCATTTATCATCAATGTTCTTCATTTATCTGATTGCCAACATGTTGTGAGACAGCTGTTCCATTTTTTTTTCTTGAGGCAGGTTTTTCGGATGACATAAGAGTCACATAGCATTGCTAAGTTATGCTCAATCAACTGGTGCGATTAGTAGCGAGTGTTTCTGCAAGAAATGCATTCAGCTGATTAGTGGTATTGATGTTATTAACACTAAGTGAAAACAACTTCTTTTCTTTCTAAAATGGTATTTGAACCAAACACTGTCTTCTAAAGAAAATTTTGTTGTGTTTTCTATGAAATTATTTGGTAGAAGTGCCGAAAATCCAATTTTCTCTATTAGTCTAAACAGAAAGAGATTTTGTTGAAAGGCAAAAACTGCACCAATCTACTGCTGGCCAGCTTATGTGGATAATGATCTTTTACTAAATTCCTGATCATATATAGGGAATTCGAAAAATCGTGACGATGGCATGACCGCGCGCGGCACGCACGCACCTCTCGGCAACCGCATTTTCTTGATTTCGTCTCTAATCGAATGGTTTTTCTGCTCACATATGACAGTATTCAGACACTGGAAGTGACTGAGATAAGAGTTGGTGTGATGCTTTTCTATGGGTGTTTTCTGCTCCTGTGGGAGCAAAAACCACAGTCTATCGCAGTCTGATCACGATTTTACAAACGACCTATATGAGTAAGATGAGACTAAAAAACTTATTATTGCCATTAATTCAGAGAACTTATAGGATTTTTTGCTTTTCAGATTCCAGTTTAGTCGTTTCTCGCTGTTAATTTTTCTTACTCTTTACAGAATCCTACGCAAGAGGACCAAGGAGTATACAAAGTCGTAGCAACGAACCAAGCCGGCACTCACTCCGTTGAACAAAAATACATTCATATCTGCACTGCCAACGAAGTTTTCAAAACTTCATAGGATATCGCTTTCGTTTCATTGATAACGCTGCTTGATTACGCATCTATTTGTTGAGGTATGCTAGGTTTAGATCTTTCACTCACTCGTTCTTTTTCAAGTTTTTACCGTCCTCCATTTCTGATTCACTCACATTGTACATTTCATCCTGTGTAATTTTGTAGAAATGCTGTTATATGCTTGCTCAAAAATGAACTCATTGATTAACTATGCATAATAAAAAATTGAGCTAACATGTTATTACTACTATTTATTTCTGCAACATGGTAGCAGCTTTGTCAGAAATCTCAAATCACAGTAGAATGATTTGATAGTTGCTACATGCTTCCACAGTTTCTCTATTGAGCGCAACCTCCATCAAAACTTTGGTGGGTACCAAGTGATTAGAGGGTAGACGAGTTGTGGAATATAGGTTTATTCGCACAGGCGTAGATTATTCCAGAAGAGATTGAGGTGTTCCGGTGTAAACCGGGGAGCCAATTCTAATACATTCGGAGGCTCCCTATATACGCAGGCGGAGCCGAACCGAGTAAAGGTTACAATGTACACGAGTTGGTGCTTGAAAGATGATGCCGCCGATTGGCTACACTCCTGGCGCACGGGTACCACTCACTCTTGAGTGATTAGATACTCAATGATGAGTAGCTCACCAGCCTACGTGGATTCCGTAGGCTGTATAGAACATAGTCCTTCAATTGTTGATGATACAGAAATCATCAACACTCTGGGCGAGCGAGAGGAAAGTGAGATCTGGTAAGATCTTAGAGTAGCAGATACATGTGAAGTTGATTAGCGAATAAGTTAATACATACGTATACAGGAAAATGAGCTATGAAGGAGAATTGCAATTAATTCAAACATACACACATGAGTACAATCAGTTAGATAAAGTGTATATGGGACAAGCTCCTGGAGTGATCGCTGGTGCTTTGGCGGCGGTTTAGCGCTGCTCGTTGTCCTCGCCATTTCCTTTTTTCCATATTGAATCGATGGTAGATGCTTCAATGGTGACCATATCCTTGATAGAAGGCATTCCTGCACGATGTGCACTTGATATCTTCTCTCCGGTGTATTCGTCATCCTTGTCTTGGCTTTATTACTTGTGAAACGCTGCGGTAACCATTCTATCCGATATCGGAGGCGAACACTGGAGTTCGTCGTGGAACGTATTGTGGCCAATCAACGTGCTGCTGCTGCTCGAGCTTCAGCGAGTATGGAAGCAGTGACTGTTTGTCTTGCAAAGCTGGATTGTCGGCTGGATGAAGAAAATGGTTGTTGTAGTTTTGTTCGTGACGGAATCGTTTTTCTTTGATTGTTCCTTCACCCTGCTCGCAGGTAATGGCTTGTTGCCTGTTCCTGTGTTCGTAGTGTTGAGATAAAGGTACGATATGGATTTCTTCAATCTCTCGTTGTGTAGTGGAAATGTTGGGTGGTTGTTCCTGAGTGTTTTCTTCAGCGTTGATATGCAGCCGAACGTGCCAACAAAACTTGATGAGTGATAGTGGCGCTCGGCCCTGATAAAACATATCCAAAGATGGTTGGGGTCAGAATGAGGCTCGAAGGAAGCTCGCACACTCCGTCGTTGTGGAGCAGAACAAGGTTCAGGAGGTCTACTTTGATCAGATCGAGTGTGCACTTTCGCGGAGAGCCTATCTTGAGCGATTATCCTTTTCATCAGAGATAAAACGCAAGTCTGGTTCCGTGAGACCCGTCTGCATGTCGGTAGTCAGTTTCTGCTTGATGTGTAATGACAAGTTCTTGAGCTTCTCGGAGGTGTGAAGACTTTTCAAGGTGATTTGCACTTCAGGTGAGCTGAATTGCTCTTGTTGTTCGCCCATTCCTGATGTAGTGAACAGAGTAATTCGAACGACTGGAAGTCTGAGCTCTCCACAAAGTCCTGGTGTGATAAAGCTTCGTTGTGCCAAGAAGTATGGTCGTTGGTTGGTAATCCCACTCTGCTTCGTTGGAAATCAAGGCGGAAGCGATTTGAAAAATGCATTGATTGTTTGCAAGTGGAAGCACGTCTGGATTGTAGACTTTTTGTTCATCCTGCGAGCCTTGTACGACGTGCATATTACTCATCTCATATGATTCTGGTTGGGGTCACGTGGTGACCAAGGATCAGGTGAATGTTGGTGAGTGTCAAGTGCATCTGGGATTCTGCTGAGAATTGTCTGTGTTGCCTTGCTTCTGACAAGCAAAGAAATTGGCGTGATCTCTTGCATTCAAGGCACATTCCAATATTGTGCAAGCTTCGAGTTGTGATTATTGCAAAACATCTCCACCTTGGCTTGTTGCTTCAAGTGGCCGAGCTTCTGGTGTGGTGTACCTCTGACGGGTGTAAGGAGAATGTGGTTGTCCACATAAACACAAGCGTATTGATTTCAAGAAGTGTTCTTTTCTTTCGCATCTGGTAGTCCTGTCATTCTTTCGAATGTTTGAGTGGTAGTCGGTTGGAAAAAGAGTTTCCAAAGTTAGCAAGATCGTCTCTCGTAGTGAAATGATGTCGTTGATAGCGTTTAGCATGTCGGCAGCTTTGAATGAATCATCTTGTACGGCTTCCTTTTGGAGTGCGGTTGTACAAATGGATACGGGAAATTTGGAGAAGATTATTTGATGCCAAACAATGTCTGCGTTCATCTTCATTACCACTTGCTCCAGGTGAATGATCCTTGAGTTGATTGCTTCGGAGGTGTCTCACTTTTCGGATCATCTGATAGGGTAGTTTTTCGATCTCGTTTGTGAGTATGTCTGCCTTGTTGGCAGAGCGATCAATATGTTTCTTTAAAACATCTATCGCTGTCTGATATCCTTCTCCGACGACTGGAATGCAGCTGAGGGACCCGTCATACTTCGCCGAAAAAAGCCCAAAGAAGCCCAAAAAAGCCCGAAAAAGCCCAAAAAAGCCCAAAAAAGCCCAAAAGCGCCAGAAAGAGCCGGAACACTTCCCGCACGTTTTGGCGCTAAGGCATGTGTGTTGACTTCGCAATCGAGCCTTTTTGTCATTTTCTATCGTCCGCATGATAAGATAATGTCAGAATTCCACCAATAGTTCGTTTCTACATCCCGGCTCTTTCTGGCGCTTTCAGGCTTTTTTGGGTTTTTTTGAGCTTTTTTGGGCTTTTTTGAGCTTTTTTGGGCTTTTTCGGGCTTCTTTGGGCGCTTTTGGGCTTTTTTTGGCGAAGTATGACGGGTCCCTGAGAGTAGTTGCTGCTTTCCCTTTTAAAGGCACCGTCCACCCAAAATTTCGACCTGCATGTTTTTGCCGTTCCAGGGTCTTGGTCTTCTCATACCCCTGATTCCGAACATCAAGTCGGAAATGCGCGAAAACCACGAAATCCCCCGTTTTCAGAACCCGCAAAGCGATTTCTTTAGGACGGTATTGGTTGGACGGATGGGAGGGACGAACGTCACGCCCACTCAAAGGGTAGGAGCCAACGTGGCGAATCTGTCATCCAAGCGATTTCCGAAGCAATTTTTTCGCTTCGGAAGCAACTTCTGCAAGCGCGAGATGGATAAGTATACAGTTAGGGGATTCACTACTGTTAGGCATCAAAATCTCATCGACCCCATTTTGGGAGGACGGTGCTAACGCTTGTTTCAGAAACAGAAATTTGTTACTGTTAGGTGTTCGTCGGTTTGGATAAGTGATTCGAAGACTGTCCAGAAACTGTTGAACTCTTGAAGTTCCCTGAGAAAGTAGGGATTTCGAGCAGAGTCTTCCGGATTTTTATTTGCCTTTCGTTGCGTTCTGAGAGGCTGCCGTTCCAGGCCTGGCCTTCGTCATTGGCCGCATGACTTTATGTGCTTGGCAGACTGATGTGCAGTAAAGCAGCTTGATCCTTCAATTTGTTTTGACTAAACTGAACTTAGTTCTGCCACTGCACGACCATGACTTCCAAATGGAGAGATTCCAACTCCAATTGTTTGCTGAGTTCTGTCATCGGCTTGTTTCTCTCTATTTCTTCATTTCGTGCGCTCACTTGTGTGTCTTGAAGCTTCAGCTTCACTGCTTTGTGTAGAGAGTTAAAAAGATTGGTTATCAATCTCGTTTTCTTTTAAGTACTGCTCACAGTCTTCTTTCAGTGTGGGAAATGTGAAGAGGACATCAATATTTTCGATTTGTGACTCGTGGGATTTCACGACTTTGCAGGCGTTGTCAATCCTGTTGTTGAAAAGCCGGAGCGATGCCATTTTCTTTTCTGTTGCACGGGGTAGGGTCGTGCGCTGGTGTGATGATTCCGAGTTTTAATTTAAAAAGGTGTAACTTCCTTTTGTTGATCGCTTTGGCTTGAGGGCGACAGCAGGACTGGGCTCGATACGACAGTTGTCCTTACTGGTTGAAGGAACTTTCTAGTGAGCTGGCAATTGAGTGCCGAGCGTCTACCAGCTGTCAGCAAGCGCACCTGGTTGGCCTATATACTGTACTGGACGGTAAGGTGTTGGAACCTGTTCCTTGAATTGTAAGGATCCAAAGCTCGAGATTGGTGAAGCAATCGTAAATGAGCTTGGAAAACAGAATTTTTTGCTAACTGTGGATGGGCCAGTCCTAAAAAAGCTTCTCGCTAAACCATGGATATGACCTGATAGCTTCGCAAGATGACCCTCGCTTATGAAAGTGGATGAACCAACAATCACAGAGTCTTTTCAGCTACGGAAGCCAAAAAAGTTCGAAGATTTCAATTATTAACTGTGGATGAACCAGTCAGTCGGCTAGAACCTCTTTGCTAAGCTATGGGTGTGACCTGATAGCTGATAGCTAAGATGACTCTCGTTGTGAAAATGCATGGACCAGCAATCACAGAGTCTTTTTGGCTAATGGGAGCCAAGAAATTTTTGAGGAGTTCTTTCACTAGCTGTGGATGAACCAGTCAATTATTTGGAAAACCTCTGCTAAGCTGTGGATAGGACCTGATAGCTTAGCAAGACTCATATTAGTAAAGGTAGATGAACCAACAATTACTAAAGTCGAATATTGGCTAATTAGTAGCGAGAGTGCGAAGAGTCTGTCGCTAACTGTGGATGAACCAGTCTGTTAGCTAGAAATCTCAATTAAGCTGTGGATAGGACCTGACAGCTTAGTAAGACTCTTAGTCGCGAAAGTGGATGAACCAGCAATCGCTAGAGTCGAATAGATGGCTATAGAGCCTGCTACGCCGATCTTAGGCCATTTTAAGAACTGTGAAGCGAAAATTGTAGTAACTTATGGTTTGTTCCGTTTCATACAGAGGTGGAGGGGTCTGTCTACGAGCTTAGTACATTTCAGAAAAAAAACCGGAGGAAAGTACCTAAAGACAAAAATTTGGTGCACACAAAATGCGAACCTTTACTAATATGGCGCAGCTCTCAAATTTTGCGATTGCTTTGGCTTCAAAGCAGAACTTCGAAGTCTTGGCGAGTCCGCCTGTAGTGGCACTCAGGCAGTCATGATAAAATTTGTCCCACGCCTTCACGATGACTGCTTCATTCACTAGCTAGATGTGCAGTATTATAGAGTGCTTGGCTACATTATAACGAAGAAATTTTTTTGCATTTCTAGGAGGAAATTCTTGGAATTCTAAGGAAGGCGAGTGTAATCGAACACTGAAAATTTGAATTCCATGTCTCGAGCGGGTGCGAGAATGTATTAGGTTGTCCGAAAATTAATGCCCGTTTTGAATTCCAACCGCAATAAGTCATACATTTTTCACTTCTAGATAGGTTGCAAAGTACCATTCGATACAGCAAAGCAAGTTCTACAAGATGGCCTTCTTGCTTTTGCAACAGCTCTCACTCACCTCGAGTTTCGAGCCAAAAACTAAAAAGACTCAGCAGCCCAAAAAATCGAAAAAAATCGTAACTCAATTCATAAAAATCCTACAAAAATTCTTACTTACTCACGTAAACACTATCCACATAAAACATCTATATACGCCTCTGCCGCATTTTTTTCTCTGTTAGAAACCAAGAAAACGGAAATTTTCCTGCATTTGCCAAAGTAATGCTGAGCCATCCCCACATAGGTAGTTGTAACCCACAAGCCCTTAGAGGTACATACTTAAATTTTCAGCTCTCTACAAGCTTTTGTCCCCAAGAAATACCGAATATAGCTCTCCCTAGTCAGGTGGTCCAAGCTAAAATTCAAATTTCTCAAGAACTAAAGCTTGCAGAGAGCTGAAAATTTAAGTATGTACCTCTACGGGCTTGTGGTGTACAACTAGCTATGTGGGGATGGCTCAGCATCACTTTGGCAAATGCACGAAAATTCCCGTTTTTTAACTAGCTATGTGGGGATGGCTCAGCATCACTTTGGCAAATGCACGAAAATTCCCGTTTTCTTGGTTTCTAACAGAGAAAAAAATGTGGCAAAGGCGTATGTAGATGTTTTATGTGGATAGTGTTTACGTGAGCAAGTAAGAATTTTTGTAGGATTTTTATGAACTGAGTTACGATTCTTTTCGATTTTTCGGGCTGCTGAGTCTTTTTACTTTTTGGCTCGAAACTCGAGGTGGGTGAGAGCTGTTGTAAAAGCAAGAAAGCCATCTTGTAGAGCTTGCTTTGCTCTATCGAACGGTGTTTTGCAACCGATCTAGAAATGAGAAATGTATGACTTACCGCGGTTGGAATTCAAAACGGGCATTAATTTCCGGACAACCTAATAATCATAACTTATAATAACGGGCTAAGGATGTTTACGTGACTTTGTGTGTGTGTGTGAGAGTGTGTCTGTTACGAAATTCGTAGAGCGTGTTCCAGCCAACCTACTGGGCTCAAATTTTGCACAGCGCATGCTACCCGCATGAAAGTCCAACACGCAAAAGCACGAGCAGGTTCGTTGAGTGGATCCCTCAGAAACTGCGCGCCAAACGGATCCACTTTGCATTTGACCCGGAAAATTGGTTCCGTAATTCCACTTTTTGCGGAGTCGTGGATGTTTATGCCATGTAAATGTGCAAGCCATGAACTTAGGCCCAAAAAGGTGATCAAAAGACCATTACTTTACAAAAACGGCGCCAAAACGTATTGGTTGCATAAATGGTCATTTTGCCAAGCTTTTACCAGAACTTTTGACGAGATTTTTGCACAAAGATGTAGTTCACGGTGGCTGCTGTTCTTATTGCAGCTGTCAAACCATGGGAAAATCAAAAACCTATAAAAATTTGCGTTTGTCCTCCTGCAAAAGGTCTCACCCACGCGAAATCACCGATTTCGCATAGAAAAGCTTTTGGAATGAGTAGTTGTTTACATTTTGTCCGTGATAGCCAGCAATGCTCGGTGAGTTCCAATGCCATCATTATGCGAGAATAAGTAGGGCCTAGATAGTAGAGCGAGCCAGTGCGAGCCTCTGCGAAGCAGAGGTGACGCACTGGTCTATTATAATGAACTGAAACTGTTCCACTGAAATTCAAATAAATGCTCATATAGAAAATTCATGGAAAGGGTATAGGTTAAAACTCAGTACCTGCTGCGCTCCTATAGCTTCGAAATTTATTTCAAAGACAAATGGCTACTGGCACGCAAAGAAAAAGTCTCTGGCAGACGCAACTATTACGAAGCGATAGCGCAAAGCCTCCTCTACATTGTATGCATCAAAATGTTGTTGAATATTCACAGTATCTTTACCTAGGAAATGAATTGTGATACCAAAAATTTTGATTTTCTCGCTCTGTAGTAGCACTTGTTTGATAAATCTATTTCTTACAAAAACGTATAGCAGGCATTATTAGCTAGGCAAAATCTGATTTGCGGAGGATGATAGCAGCATTATGTGGCACAAATTTGGAACTAAACATCAGTAGTTTTGTGATTTAAAACACTGCAAAGTTGGTTTCCAGACTTTTGCCCCACCCTGTAGAGCTTTGACTTCCAAGAACTCTCTGGGTTTTCTCAGGAAAACGGAGATTGTTTTGGAAGAAAAACTTCAGCTCCACACTTTAATTCTCCAAACAAATAACATAATGTTTAAACATTTCCATCAACCATGAAACAAAAGAGTTTGATTGAGCAGCGATTTTAGTGTGGGTGATGAAGGCGCTTCCTCTTTTTGATTCTGCGCTATTGTGTGGAAGTACATGTGGCTATTCTTGTTGATTTGCAATATTTTATGCAAATCTCGATGTCTGTAGCTCACGAGTGCTATTACGAGTGCTTTTGTGATGTCTTGTATGGGTCTTGCAGTGGCGGTCCCAGGATTTCCGTTCGAGGGGGGGGGCAAAAAAATTTCAAATGAAGGTGCGTATATGTATGTCATGTATGCATATATATGTATGTATGTATGTATGTATGTATATATATATATATAAGTATATATATGTCATATACTATGATACTATGGTTTTTGTAGTAAGAAATATCTCGTACGCTTAATGAGTTTAATGAGTTTTTGATACTAAATTCAGACAAACAATATCATTAGTATTACTAACTCCGTCATTATGTCACAAATCGCTTCTTAAGTATCCAAAATATGTGAATTTGACGTTAGCTTTGTTTTCCTTGCATTTTGAATTCTTTCAAAAAGTGTTGTTTCTGTGGATCAAGAAAATGCAATTTCCATCAAGTCTAACCTAATCTTTCTCGATGTAGGCTTTCTGCCCACTTTCTGCATAGTCAAACACCCCATTTAAAATTTGGAGTTTTTTTTAATACCAGTCGCTATTATTTGCCATCTGTATTTTTTGAAAGAACGGTTGACCGCAGTGCTTATATACGGTACAGTAGGTAAAATTTACTTCGCTTATTAACTTTGCTGGTGTAAGCTTGCTCGCTTGAAGCAATGTGTTAAGAATACTCGGCTGCAACCTTACAGCTTTTATGAAAAATATCGCCAATAAACCTCAAAAAATTTGCTTTTAAGCTTACAATCAGCGACATACTTCTCACTGCAACGGCACTTCGACTAACTCTACTTTCTTGTTTGTGCAAAAATCGCAAACAACAAAATGCTTTAGTCGGGTAACCAAGCATTACGCAAGCAACCATTCCGAATCCTTTCTGATGAATTTCAGAATTCTTGAGTACTGCGGCGGCTTCACCGAGTCGCGATGGAGAGAGTAGCATTGATCACCAGAAAAGGAGACTTGTTGCTGGTAACCATCCTTGAAGATAGCACAAAACCCAGTAACCTATAAGTGAAATTTGGCAGTTTACATACACAGCAACAAAAGTGACAGAAATTTGAACTGCCTCAAGACATGTGCCGCAAAAGGGCAGGAAGTACAAAATGATTTTGTTCAGCTGATAGGCTTCAATTTTTGGCGCAGAAGGTTTCATCCTTTGTGGGGATCAACTTTGTCAGTAATTATTTGTAGTAAATTTTCTCTGCTGTGCTGATCGCTTTTTAGCAAGTATTTTTATCAGACCTGTTTGTTAAATAGGTTCTAATTGAATGTGTGCTAGAGTGATAGCAACGTCATTGTAGCAAAAACCGTAATTTTCAGGCAGGTGGCTTATGGAAAATGCAAGAAACGAAGTCCCACTTGATTTTCGCGAATTTTTACGAAGTCTTCTTTCACCCCAAAAAATAATCCTAAAAAACCTCAAAAAAAACGAAGCTTCGATCAAAAAACATCACAATTTTTTCCCCTCAAAAACGACACCTCCTTTGCTTTCTGTCTCAAAAATGATATCCAGGCTGCTTACAAGCCACTCAGCCAAGCCCTGATACCCTTATTTTGGAAATGGATCACTCCTAGAATATGATCTTGAAATGTATTTTACTTGGATTACCAAAACTAATAGGAGCCCAACATGTAGAAAGACCCTAAAATTAGGCAAAACATTCTTACTAGAGTTTGCTACTTGTTCAAGTCAAACACTTAATATCAGATTGCCCAGACCGTCGAAATTTGACAATAAGGTATTTTGGTGCATTTGTTCAAGCACTGTCTTAGAGCTTACTTGTTTATAGCAGAGGCGCGTGCAATTCTTGTTATTGAGGCACGTAGCAAAGCATGTGGATTCGTTCGTAAATACTCCTCCTAAAATTGAACCGTACGGTACATCCTCCCTTTGAAAGGTGCAAAGTGAAGCCCAGTCCATCTGAAACACTCTCAACTTTACATTTGATATCATGCAAATGCTCACCTGCAAGACAAGCAAGACGAGGATCGCAGATTTCATGGTCCGTACAGCCACTCGCTAGCGAACGCAAAACCACTTCTGAAACCCTCCTGAAAACGTTTTTAATTCATAAATAACGTAGCCTTGGAGACACCATAGACAAACGTTGTTGCTTGGTATTTTCGATGTGTTTTCGAAGTTAATTGCCGTTATTGCCAAAAACTGGCTCGAAGGCAAACCAACCAGCTATAACAACAAAATGGGAATTGCGGATTCTGAGAAATTTTGATTTGTTAAAAGGTAACGGGGTACAGGTTTAGCGCAAGTCAAGAACTTACGAATAAATACTCTAATGAATGTGTGTTGGATGTTTAGTACATTGAAAAGGGATTTTGATATAAAAAGTATTAGTTGCCAAATATACAGGGTGTCCCAAAAAATGTTAACACTGTTTGATCGTTAATAACTCCCTTGCTTTCAAGTCTTTCGCCGAGCTTTAGGTACCATTCTGTAGAGCGAGGATAAACTTAGATTCACAGTATCGAGCGAATCATCTAACACTCCTCGTTACTATAGAATTACAATAGGAAATTCCAAAATGTGGAACCGTCATGAAATATGCCCTCTGACAAAAATTTTTTCAAAAAATCTGAAAAATTGTGTACTAGGGTTTTCGCGCACGCTGATTTTACTACATAACTTTTTGCGAGTGTTTTCGGCTTTTTTGACGGTGTAATCACATTTTTGGCAAATACTGGGAAGTCAGTTATTACAGTTTACCTAGGATAACTTTGAAAAGAAGTATCATAATGAAACTAAAATTGCATATCCGAAATCAGCGGCTTTCATTACCATAGTACAAGGGATTTTGGCTTGCTTGGCTCTGTTTCAAAGCAGAAAACGGGCTTTAATGGCTTAAAATCCTTGTCAAATTTCCTACCGTAATTCTACAGTAACGAGGAGAGTTAGATGATTCGCTTAATACTGTAAATCTAAGTTTATCCTTGCTCTACAAAATGGTACCTGAAGCACGGCGAAAGACTTGAAAGCAAGGAAGTTATTAGCGATCAAACAGTGTTAACATTTTTTTGGGACACCCTGTATTCCCTCCTTTTCACTAGAGTAAGAATAGGTAGGAAGTCAACATCCTTCACCCCATGGCAGGCATGTTTTGCTTTGAAAAATTCAACAAAAACTATCTAAAAGTTTTGTTTTCTTAATCACAGTCTACAGATCAAGAAGTGTTATAAGGAGCTATCACAGAAAGAGGATCTTGTTTTCGGCTTCAACTTGTTCTATCAAAGAATGCAAAGCAAAACTAGTTCATCTGTAAAATTATTGTTCGAAAAAGTGATTCAACCAAAATTTCGCGCGTGGATGTGTTTCAAATCAACGAAATTTAAATTCTCCATTGGAAAACTTCCAGAATAAATTTCGATTAAGCAGCAGAGCAGCATGGTTTGTACACTAATAAAGTAATTATTTAACCAAGTTGAGAGCGTATGCCATTCATTCATTCCACTGATTTCTTACGGTAAGAAAACGAGAGTGATCGTTTGCCATCTTTCGGAAAAGAAGAGAAACCACTTTTGTCATTAATCCATCTATCATGACTTTCACGTTCAAATCAATACACAACTCTGGAGGCTAAAACACTTTTTGCTGGAGCTATAAGTAAATTCGGAAGAATAGTATAATATTGCATGGGAAGAACAGTATTGAATGGATGATTTTAGTATCGAGTTGGTCACCTTTTATTCCTCAATGGAATACAGTGACATAGTAATGGAGAATTTCGCCTTTTCAAAGCGTCAGTATACCGTGTTTGAGCAAATTTTGCATTACTGAACCTTTCAGGATGAGGATTCTAGAGTAACCCTAGTAGTAAACAGTCATAGTCTGGGACATAAATGCAATCCATCCATATTTGCATACATCATCACGGAATAAACTTCAAATTCCAAAGAGGATGCTTAGTGTTCTTTAGTTTCCTAGCCTTGACTGGATTAGCCGCTGCTGGAACTGGACTGGGATAAAATAGGGCTAACGTAGCCGTAAAGCGATTTGGGCAAGAACAGCAGTATGCAGCATCTCTTGCAAGTGCGCCTGGTACTCCAGCCTGTCATGGCCGTCCGTCAAGATCCGTGCCAAGAGATTCGGGTTGCCCAGTTGGTCTAGGTTGTCCCGGTTCTCCATCGCAACCGGGGCTCTCTTGGTGCTCCTTATCACCAGGCGGACCTTGAAGTCCAGTTAGCCCAGGGCTTCCTGGCACTCTTACGGTATCGGCGATTCCGTCTTGTCCAGATTTCCTGGAGTTCCATCACATACTGGACTTCTAAGTGATCCGGCATTTCCAGGTGGCCCTAGTGGTCCAACCTGACCATGGTTATCTGGTCCAGGAGCTCCCCAGCTCCGTCCAGGAGCTTGTCCATCTTGTTCGGGTGGACCGGGCGGTGTCGGCGGTGTCGATGGGCAACGCGGTGTTTTGTGGAAGGCATTGAATGAGAGCGTAAATGACCAAGAATCTTTTGACTTCGTGTCAACAGTTTTGTAATACCAGAAGGACTCACCTGTAGAACATCATACGAATGAACTCTATTGAATTTCAGCGCTTGGGTTGTTTTTGAAATTTGAAAGGCTTAAATCATTTGTTTGTAATCTCTGAAAAAAACTTCGTAGGTGAGTCAATGACCATTAACACACGGAATCAAAACGCTGTGATTGTTCACTCAAGTTGAAACTGACAGGTCATTCACAAACTTTTCTTGTCCTTTTTTTATTCGTATGTTGTATCTCAGTCAAATATCCTCTGATCAACTAAACATCTTTTCTGCACGAAATGGACTGAGTTAGAAGCAACATGATACATGGGAATAAAATGGAATACAACAACCATGTGATAAAACAAACAAGGAACAGAATTTCTTAGAACGGTAAAATCCTCTCGGGTGGTAGTAATTTCGTTGAAACTATAATCTTAGCTACGTTCTCATGATACGAGCTGATCAGAGGCTTTACATCGAAACCACGAATTAACTAGTCGAATCCCAGACCGTAGACAATTTTTCACTTCATATCAAATTCAGCAAAGCGATGTCATTGAAGGAGATCGAACCTCTAATCATTCTCATGCTTGACCGCCTTCATTGCACTTTACCAATTTGCGGTTCGGTCTCTAGCCTTGAATTTTCCCATAATCTTATCTAAAGAGTAATCAACTGAGCTTCTTTATAGTGACTTTCCGAATGATCTCCTTCACTCCTACTAACTTATGAAAACAACATATCATGGTTTCAAATGAAAAAGTGGTCAGGGGTACTTTTTCATTTCAAACACTGATCTAGTAGTTCCACGTCTGCGTCTCATAAAATGAGGTGCTACTTTCATTATTCTTACTGATAACAAAAGAATGAATTTAACCTATGGATTATTCTCAGTTTGATTCAAAATGAAATATTCATGGAACATTCATGGTAGTCGAGACTACCATGAATGTTCCATGAATATTTCATTTACCTGCTTTACCTGCTTGTTTCATGATTTTGTATGACCGAATGAACTGGGAGGTCGGCGGAAGATGATCATGGTTATTACTATGTAACCATGATTAAACAACAACACATTTCACGTTGGTTTCAACCAAATTACTACCATTCCTCATTTTTTTACTATGAGATCATTAGATTACGCGAACTATTTTGTAGGTGAAGGCAGAAGATGGTAGACCATGACAGATGAAACATTGTTTATGCGATGCAAGATTGGGTTTTTGAACGCGAATTAAACTGTGGCCCCTCATATAGTTCGTATGATATGTAGGCTCGAAATTATCGTATAAACCGAGATCCGGTCCATTTGTTGTAAGTTTTTACATAAAGGTAAGATCGGCAAGAAGTCTTCTATTTTTTTGAAGTAAATGTTTGGAGTTTCTCTAATCTGGCAAGATATGATAACCCAAAAATATGGCATTGAAATACGACGAAATTTGTGTCTGAAGTCAAAAATTTTCAAGCTTAAATTATTCATCAAATCCGAATACCATTGTTAGCGGGGTTCCACTACCGAAGGTGGCCTTCTCCTCTCAAATTATTGCATTCTTGTTATAAGATTAGAAGAAAAAATGTTGCTTTTTCGGTTTTTGGGTAAATTGGTATTACTCATTATCAGTAATTAAAGCTAGTGCAAGGCCGAAATTTTGACTCAAAATTAAGAAGGATTGTAGTACACAAATGTATATATGGCAAGAGCTTAGGACCACGGTTCGTTACAAATAGCTTACGGTGTAGACTGGATATCGTTTGAGAGGTGAAAAGCAAAGGGAGACCGTTTTTGTGGGTCCGGATCGGAGTCCCGTAAAGTGCATTTATCAGTGTATCATGTACCAAGTATCGGTATGGTGTTCCTGAAAGGGTAGAGGACTATATGTGCCGAAGAGGGTGCCCCTCCTCTGGAATTTGCAACAAAAACGCGCCCTTGCACGTCACGGACGTGCCCTTTTGCAAAAAGTCCGCACAGGACCCTTCCATATTCGATGAAGTATAGTTCTCCATCTTTTATGAGAAAATCACCAATCACTTCTTGCAGAATCGGAGTTTTAAGAGTGATATTTTTTTTTCAAAATTTTGATGGCGCGGCAATCTAGAACTGGGTTCTTGTACAAGATTATTACAGGAAAATTTGAGTTGGCCAACTTCATGCCCATCAACCCAAAAATTATTGCAGGCCCTCCCTCTTACGAAAAAACTTATATCATTGATATTATCACATGAGTTAAACATACACGCTCCCAACTTTAACTTGCGTCGTCCTCTTTTAGTCCATCTCCTCACTGCCCTACCAGTCAGGGCCCGCCAGGAGGCGGCATTTCAAAATTTTGAAAACGATATCCCTTTTGAAGCCAAAATTTCTTACGAGTTCCCCTTTGACCCTATTTTTGACCTCCGTATGTCCCTGACAAACAGATATACACAAATAATAAGATGGGCGGCCTCAGCGCTTATTATAATAGTACTACCTGGCTTTCCTGGTCCAGCCCGGGTCATCAAGGTTTCAGCTCAATGTGTTCATCCGCAAAGGAATCTA